TCGTGACCGCGTTCCTGAATGGTGTGCTCACCGGTGTTGAGATTTTTATGGAGCAGCCTGAGGGCTACAATGACGGCACTGGGCGAGTCTGTCGCCTACTTAAAGGACTATATGGACTAAAGCAAGCCTCGCGAATCTGGAATAACACGCTTCACAAGCACCTGGTTGAGATCGGGTTCAAGAAGTGTACGTTTGACGCTGGAGTGTATTGGAAAGAAGGAAAGCACAACAAAGTCTTCCTGACCGTGTATGTTGATGACATACTGATCGCCGCAGACCCGAGAGATGCTGACGGCGTGGTGGAAGCGCTGGGCAAGATGTTCAAATTGAAGGACTTAGGCCGGGTCAAACATCTATTGGGGATGGAGATTAATTATGAGCCGGGCAAGATATTGTGCATCTCGCAGACAGCGTACGTTGAGCGTATGCTTGAGAAGTTTGGATTAGCAGCAGCAAAATCAGTGCGGTCTCCTCAAGTTCACAACGAACGAACTGTACGAGTGGAGAAAACCCCCAACCTGATTAATGATCCGAAGCTGCCATTTCGCGAGATGATAGGGTCTCTACAATACCTAGTGCACTGTACCAGACCTGATTTGGCAAATGTGGTGCGGACACTTGGTCGATACCGCCTGCTCATCCCCACAACACCACATATTACTATTGTAATTCATCATCGGTAAGCTGGGTTTACGTTCACCTTCCTCATCTTATGCTGACTCTACTCTCGGAATTGAGTATCTTGTCATCTCGGATATAAAACTATACAAATACTGTAAAAACTGCAATTATGCCCCCTCCCTCTAATAGTGCCCCACCCCATGAACTTTGACATCTTTGGCTGGAACTTGCGATAGTGCCCCACCCTCAAATAGAGCACCACCCCAACCTTTTATCTGAAAAATTGAGTTTGATTCCGAGTTTTACCTCATAAATTCCAAATATTTCACATCATGATCTTAAGGTCTGTATGTCGACCAGGGATTGATAGTAATGCGATTTTCTTCTAAAATTACTATAGTAGAATTGACAAGGTCAATTCAATTATACTATTCTAATATTAATCCATTCTAGCGATCCAGAATACTATATTAATATTACTATAGAAATTTAGATTACTACTGTCGACCACCAGGTGTCCTCCATGTCGACCACCAAGGTATCCTCCATGTCGGCCACCAGGCGTCCTCGTTGATGCTTTTGTTCTCGAGCTGCATGCGACACATCGTTTTCTTGTTGTGCTCCAACAGCACGCTCTTTAGAAGAGTGATAGCTTCATCAAGATGGCGAACAGAGGACTCCAACTTTTTCGATGCCTCTATCTTCCCCAGTGGACAATCGCCATAAGGCCACACCATGTGCACCCTCACATTAGCTGTGTGCTGCCAGCGGTGCAAGGCACCTTCCCACACGTTGGGACTTGCGTGTGGGCGGCAAGCGAGCTCTTGAGCACACAGCAGGTAAACATGAAAGCCGCTGCTTCACCACTCTCCAAGATCACGTAGGGCACATCAAGTTGATGAGAAAGTTCCCACACGTCACGACGGCCGCGGTCCTGACGGTGGTGACGAATCTCGAGGAGGACTCCAAATGCGTCCGCAGTGGCCGAGGACACCGACCTTGGTGCTGCCGTTGGCGGCAGCGTGGACGAAGGGACAGCTGGTGGCGAGGCTGGCTGGGTTTCCGGTGTCAATGATGGCGGCAAGTTTGTCGGAGGCGGCGAATCCAGCGTCAAACCCAGAATTGGTGTCGCCAACATGCCCGCGATGAGCACTTGGAACTAGGATCATGGACGATCTTGGTCGAGCTTGGTCGAGCGAGCGAGTCGGAAAGAGGTTGTTGGCTTGTCGAGCTGCTGGAAGATTGCAGAATGAGCCCAAACAGAAAGCTACAATTTGTAGCCTCCAATAGCTCACTGCAGAGAGCTAGTAGACCGGTCCCGTGCGACGAACCGCGACCGCCGAACGCGCGAGCCTCCCAGCAGCGAATCCGCTTTCTCCATTGAACCGACCGAGTGCCCACATGTTAGCCAATATGTCTCTAGTATCCAAATAGTACTATTATTAGCCGAAAACACAACTAATATCTACTATAGTAGAATATAATCAGCCGACGAAAATTCTACTATTATTATAGTAGAATAATATTATTTACCGGTAATATTAAAATAATTTTACTACTGGTAATATCTACTATCAATCCCTGATGTCGACTTAACAATGTAAATGATTACTGTCAAATTTATTCTGTAAATAGACTTTTAACGCTAGTTGTTTTTGGTGTCCCACTCCCTTTATAGTGCCCCCCTTGTAATAATGCCCCAGGTTGGCAGGGGGTACTGCTGCAATACCCCACGGGGCATAATTACCGTTTTTTACAGTACATGGACGTTGTACTTGAAATTTGTTCAATTACCTGAACTACTGGGCTGCATGTACCGTTTACCCCGTTGCACTATCGGGAGCACAAGATTCTATTGATTTATGTGCTTGATTCGCGATTCGTACTTCAATTTTGTAAAGTGCTATTTTGGACATTGTCCTCCTGTACTCGGCAGATTCCGGACCGGAATCCGGAGACCTGGCATGTTATTCCGGGCGCACGCGAGGCCGTACAGCGGACAGTAGTGCGACGGCTGCACGAGTTAGGCAAGAATATGGTCGGCACAAAGTGAGCAGGTAGTTGGGGTAGAGGCAGTGGGCAGCGACAGCGTTGTGGATAGCGGTTGCTGCGGGCGGAAGTGGATCTCCCGAGTGCTTCACTCTCAACACCCCCGCAGCCCAGCGTCAGATTGGGTAGTTACGCTTCCAGGTTGCTGTTCCGACCCTAGCCAGGGGAACGCTTGCTGTGTGGGTTGATTGAGTTTTGTGTGTGCTTGTCGGAGTGCTCTATGCCGGATCAGAAACTTCCGATTGGTACGATTCCAACCTACATGCGTCTACGATGGTGCCGCTGACTTTGAGCGCAAATATAGAGCACTAAGCGTGCGATATACAAGGTGCAGAGCTGGCGCCAGCGCTCCCATAACGCCGATGCGTTGCGTGTAGGTTCGCTTGATCGAATGAGTACATTCGCGCGTTGGTGGGCCAATGCAAGCGCTCATATGTCGCCCTTCGAGTGCTGGTAAACCGTGGCATCGGCTGTGCTGCTATGACGTTTGGTTTCGCTTCAGCGCATTTTTTCTGCTCTTTCTTGACATTAACGGTTACCCGGGTGCGGTTTGTATACAAATTGAGAAGGGATCCTGCGGCTGGAGGCGAAAACTTGATGGAAGCTGTAGAATACAAATAATGGGTAGCTTAGGAATACTGGATCTGGCGCTGGCATCGACGCTGGAGAACAGCCCTCCAATTGGTTAGCATCAATGAGCGACTCGACAGACTTGGGGATGTGCACACCGGACAGCCTCAAACTCCGATCGATGCCCTCTCCTGGCGCAGGCGCTGCGTTCGCCATCGTACCTCATTCTTTCACACACACACACAACCCTCTCAGCGCATGCGCATTATTATGCATGAGCCTAAACACGAGTTTACAGTGTGGTGCTCCGATTAACTTCATACCTGAGCGATTTGTAAAACCAACGGCTCTCCGTGGGTTCAATAACGGATTTAAGGTACATCAAGAGGTAGGCGAACGTCGCATCGACAACGTCCAAGGCGATATTAAATCGAGCTAAGATGCGATGGTACATCTCATCGCACACGGTTATAAGTTGCCCGTTCGCAGCTGTGGAGAGGAATAGTACCATATAGCAATCGTCGTATCCAGCAGTCAAATACTGAGTACGAAGTCTACCTTGAAAACATGATAATCACATACGAGAACGTAGACTGTCGCAGTTGTAGTGCGTTCCCTAGCTCAAATATTGCTACACGGCCACCTCCCATCGTTTATTAAGAAAGGAAACGCACCCCAGCACGTTGCTATTGAAACTCGCCCTGAATTAATGAGCACCAGGTTGGTGTCGGATACAACAGTTGCATTTGGGGTGATTGCGTACTGACAAAATACTCGATTATGATTGGGTAGATTCCACTGTCGGATATGACATTTTGCTGGATATGACATTAGCTATACGGTATAGACGGCGTTGTCGCGGATAAGTTAGAAGATTGGAAACCTGACAGGATCTTAGCCACACTCTAATCTTCTGCTAATGCCATTTCAATGACGGCAAGGGAGTTGGCCAAAACCTTCAGCAATCACGCGTGCCGAGTTGAGATCCACTGGATAGCCAAGGCGCTCACGTAAGGAGCAGCACCGCGGGGGGGGGGGGTATGAGGCCCAACCGAGGTCTTAACCGGACTATATATAGGAAACCGTCCCCCAGAAGAGGCATGCCGTGCCTCTCGCGTGAGGCGATGAGGCACTTGAGCGGGGTTGAGTAGATTGTAAACTAAGAATTGTTTGAGCGGTTAGCGCTAGCGACTTCCTACTCAACGTGTTGGGCGCCATGAAGGCGTCGTAGAGGCTCTGCTGATGGCCGATTGTTGAGTCGACAACTTGCACTTGCACAAACAACGTGGTCGAGCTATCAGAGCGCGTGCCTTGTGCGCGTAATCACCTGCACGACACGGTAATAGATAGCCGTTGCTTCGCACGTACTAATAGTTCGCCCAAAAGGATGTCACACTATTGACACAAGCGCATCTTCGTGCACAGACTTGAGAGCAGGATGGAGTGCGAAAAGAAAAAAAAGCCAAGTTGATGAGCTATCCGACGTGCACCACGGCCGGTAGCAACCTCCTCAGCATGCTCCGGGACCAACGAACCACACTGCCCCGCGCTTGGGCTATTTAATCACTACAGTCGAAGGTAGATTTATAAAAGATACAATACACGTAATTTTCTTAATAATCTGCGATCGAAGCTGCTTCAGAGGCGACTAGCGCAAAAAAAGCTAAAGAATGTTGTTAACCCCTCAGCGCTAAGCTGCTTTTCACCTGTTTTATTTTATGTAACGATACTCGTCCAACATGTTAGTCGCGCAGCATGTTAAAGTAGCGCAACGCTTACTTTACTATAGTCTCGATTAAGTTCGAGTACCGACTGTGCACAATGGCGACGTGAGCATTTCGCCAAACCGTTTGCCATGTTGTACAAACTGCATGCACATGGTGTAAATGATAATGGTTTAGATACAACATCATAAGGAATTTGGGATTAGTGGCCAGTGGCTGTTCTGTCAAACGTCAAGCAATAGGATTGCTATAGATTTCGTAGCGGTTTCCTCTTACTCTAACACCAATCGACATAGCTACAGCATCGCCACTAGCACGCATTGTATCGTTTTATATCCATTAACACCCCGTAATCTGGTCCGACAAACCCAGCCCCTAGGCGTTGCAGGAAGGTCTGACTTATGCAGCTAATTCTCCCATGGTTTAACATGTTGTATGTAAACATGTTTCTTTGTATGCATAACGTGTGGGCGTTGAGGGGTTAACGGAGCGAGCCCAGTTACAAATTGGGGATCACAAACCAGATTGCCCCACCTGGTAGTAGAGAATGTAAACCGGTTGCATCCGGAATCCGGATTGGACAACCGGATACAACCGACTTGAATCCGGATAATCCGGATTCTAGCGGATTATAACAATATCCATTTCTACGAGTTATTCCTTACAAGTTAATGTAAAATGATATAATATGAGCATGGGTTATCCAGTTCTAGCGGCAGCAAAGCGTAGATAATTGGATGAAATAGTAAGTATTATGTCCAATTGGACTGCGATTAATGCAACGGTGACTTTTTATAGTTTTGGTCACGAGCGTTTAGATTCGATATCAAGGTTTTCCCCGTTCTGTCTTGTAAGTGCAAGGCCGTCGTGGACAAGCTCAAGACGCTACAGCTGGGGCTACACAGTCTCCAATGGAGATGCAGACAGCGCTGCAGAGCCCCGCCGAGGATGAACTCATCAAGAGCGACAAGAAATGCTGTGCAAGATGTTCGTGGTGCCGAGCTTCGAGATCTAAGGCGGCGTGGGCGGCTTCTACGACTTCGGTCCGCCGGCCTGCGCGCTCAAGAGCAACCTGCTGCAGTTCTGGCGCCGCCACTTCGTGTTCGCCGACAAGCTGCTGGAGGTCGAGTGCACCAACCTCATGCCCGAGGTGGGGCTCAAGACGTCGGGTCACATGGACCCGCTTCACGGGCCTCGTGGCCGAGGGCAACAAGTCGGGCGAGTGCTATCGCGCCGACAAGCTGCTGAATGATCACGTCGAGAACTTTCTGGACAAGCACCCGGACCTGAGCTAGGAGGAGCGTGAGAAGCTGTACTCGCCCCAGGAGATCCACGAGAACTTCCAGCAGTACGGCATCATGGCGCCCGGCATGGGTGTGGACCTAAGCTTCCCCGTCCAGTTCAACCACACCTTCATTTATGGAAGGCGCTGCCGACCTGCGCGCAGCCAAAGGGGCTGCCGGCGTCGTACTCGAACAAGTTTCAGCAGGCATGCTGTCAGCAAGGAGGAGAGCGCTGTTGCGCTGACGGAGACGGTCACCGCGGCGATGAGCATCCTGTACGCGCACTCCACCTGCGAGACCAGCAGCGTCAAGTTGCTGACGTTCTCAGCTGTTATCCGTGTGGCTGCGCAGGAGTTCAAGGGCGTGTGCACGAGCGCGGCTTCGGGTGAAGTTATCTTGCCATCGCTGCTGCTGGCGAAAACGTTGGAGCAGTGGTGGTGGGGCAATCACATCCTGTACAAGCTGAGCCGGTCGGGGTGGGTAACGAGCGTAAGCGAATACGGCGCACTGGTGAGGATAATCGCTACCTCCGATCCGCATGGAGCGCAAGAATCTGCGCAAGCTGATGGCGGGTCCAGGTACGGCCGAAACGTGGCTCTACCCGGTCGTGATGGCTCGCTCGAACGCCGAGATCTTGTTGTGGAAGAAGCCGCCCCAGTGGAGGCCTGGTGAAGGTTGAGCGTCGAACCCAACGGTAACCTCAAGAACGAGATCCTGACAGTCACGACGCGGGTAATACCACGCGTCTTGACCCACCGACAGAACCGTCTTGGTCTGGAAGTCGTTTGCCTTGACGTCGGGGTGCGCGTTGACCTGGGTGAGCGTCACGCCGATCTTTAGCGTCTTGTCCTGGCCAGCCTGGGCGACCGTCAGGTCGGACGTGATCTTGACGTCGTCGTTGGCAGCGCGGAACAGAGCCATGGAGAACTCGCTGTCCTCGTCCGAACCGGTCGCGAACGTGATAGGGCCCCAGGCCTCTGGATGCGCGTTGCTCGGGTGGATCTTGTCGGCGTTCAGGAAGCCGTCGGGCTTGCCGTCCCACTCGCCGATGCGCCAGATGGGCTAGTGTTCATCTCGTACGAGACGTCGATGGTTCCCGAGGTGGACGCACCCTCAGCGACCGTAACGCTAGCCGTACCAACAGCCAACTGCTTCTTGTAGACGATGGCCTAGTAGGTACCGGGCTTCATCTTGGGCGACGTGAACGTCTTGATACATGCGGGCACCTTGACCCAGTACTGCGCGTCAGCGTTGGAGAATACTACGACGACTTCCGAGTCGCCCAAAACATCGTTGGCGTCGGTGATCGTACCGGCCACCTCGCCACACTTGGCATCCGGAACAAAGCCCGTGAGCTCCTGGTCCTGGAAGAAGCTGAAGTCGAGGGTTGAGACATCAGGGCCGGCGCCACTCGTGAGCGCAAGTGCGTACGGGCCGTGGAATTCGTAGCGGTAGTCCTAGAAACGCGTGTGGTCCGAATTCATGTAGAATGACAGCTTGTTGTTGATGTCACGGAAGAACGGTCCACCGCTCGACGTTTCGTAGCCCTGCTCCGAGATCACGAGGTAGAGACCGGCAGCGGTGCTGTTGACGCCATGGACGGCGTCGTCGACGAAGGACAAACCCGGGTAGTACTTGGAGCGGGTGGTGCCTCCCGCGTTTGTGACGACATCCGTGGCTTCAATGGCCGTTATGCCAGCCTTTGATGGTTTCCAGGATGCCCTGGTTCATCGCCGTCTTGTCCAGGCGAGCGAGGAAGCGCATCTCCGGCAGCACCAGATCGATCGTGTGCCCACGACGTTTTTGTTGAGGCAGAAGGAGTAGGACTCCTTGATGACCCTCTTCTTGCAGTTGACGTTGATGGGCTTCTTGACGTCGTTGAGGGACTGAATCACGACTTTGCCTGGCCGAGATCCGTGTTGACGTGGCTCCTGGTCATTGTAGTTGATGACCACGAAGTCGCAGGACGCCTGCCTCGTGATGATCGTCAGGCCCGCGCCGGTGTTGATGATGTATTTGTCGCCGCTGGTTTGTACCCTATCGACGGCCTCATCTTGACGGTGAGGTGTTCAAGTTTAACACACGAGAGCAAAGGGTGCCGCAGGCGCGGACACCCCGTACAAGGCGGAGGGCTGCATGGGCACGGATGAGGTGACGTTCATCAGCGACGCTGATGATTGATTCAGCATCCTGCAGCTGAGTTCTGGTGCGCAGCATCACGGCGAAGATCTACGGCGACACGGAAGTGCACCCTGGTATTCCTGGAACTGGTGGAGCTGTTCGACACGACGCTGATGAATCATCAGCATCAGTGATGAGTGCAAGCACTGCTTGCCAAGCAGGAACGCGTACGTTGTGAGCTCGTGTGTGGTGCGATGCTAATACTCTTGCTCGTGCAAATTCGCATCGTGTACTTGGGACCGTACAACCTAACGCTGCGCGTGCGCCTCATCAAGCGCGCGGTGCGTGGCGAGTACTGCGAGTCAGTGTTTTGCGCGACCCAGTTGAAGTTCGTAGCGTCGGCGTCTGGCTCAGTGGCTGCTGCTGCTGCTGTGAGTATGTTGAACGGACCTCCTGCTCTACCGCTTGTGGTGGTGGTGGTGGTGCTGCTGCTGCTGCAACTTGCAGCCTGCAAGCGGCACTACGGTTGCTGGTGCGGCAATTGGCGCTGGCGTATTGGTGGAGAGAAGGCGAACATCTCGTCGAGCGTCGCCGCGCGGCTGGCGGCACCGACAGCAAGACGGAGAGTGCCTTCAATTCTGCTTCGACACTGACTGTGTCAGTGTCTGCACTATTAATAAACAAGGAGGAGATCGCTGTTGTGGAGACTGGGACTTCACCGCGGTGCCTGCATGATCAGCAGCATCACGTCAATGACGTTCTCAGCTGGTATCGATGAGGCTGTGCAGGAGATCCAGGACGTGTGCGCCATCGCAGCTTGGTTGGGGCCTATCCTGCCATCGTTGCCGGTGTTGAAGACCTTGGAGCTGTGCAGGGGGCTACATCCTGTACAAGCAGAGCCGGGAAGGGACTACGGCGCTCAGGTGAACCTTATAAGCAAGAGTAAGGGTAATTGTGTACGCACCGGCATTGTATTGTAAATGAACTTACTCGTGAGAACAAGCAGCTACATCATTCGATTTCACGGCGATTAAAGTTGAAGAACGACTTTAGCTCGCAACTTGCCTTCACCGTATCATCACCCAGGCGAGCGCAGCGGGCGTTAAGAGCTATACCTGCTGCTGAAAATGCAACTTTGCTTGGGACCGACGTTGCCGTGACCGCCAAAAAATCTTGAGCCATTTGCTTAATCCGTGGATAAACGTTCCCCGTAGCTTGAAACCAGGCACACACACATGCTTACTTTCTCTCATCTCACTCATGCCTTCATCCGCTGCCAGCCACCGGTCGAGCTCCTTCGCGAACGAGGAATCCTCACGCTGCATTTCCCGAATGCTGATTTCAAGCTGTCTGTCGCCTATATCATCCACAGGGGTGCCACTGGATACACTTTCACCATTCTGCTGGTAAAATCGGGTCATGAGGCCTTTAAGCTCGATGCCTCGCTTTTTTTTGCTGACGGTGGACCAGAGGCTGATTGTTGTTGAGCCAGAAATGCTTCGCGGTAGTTCTTGTTGAACTCGTCTTCAACTTCGTCCTTGACTTGGGCGACATCGTCCACCAAGAGGTGGAGATGCCGCTTAGCACGCGGAGCTAGCGCTAGCGCAATCCGGGCTTCTCTGGTGTTGACCTTCACCGTGTACTCATCCATCTTGGCCTTAACTGCTTCAGCAAATTTCAGCGTCTGTTCGTCTTGTTCGTTTGCTATAGTTTCTGTTGCGTGAAATTGGATCAAACAGTACGTGTAGAGCAGGATCCCAAACACGGGGTACGTCGACGCAGATAGCATATCTGTGGCTTCTTTGATGGGCCTGGGAAACTTGTAAAGGGCGCCCACAGCCGTCCACGCCTCCTCTGAAATCTCCTTGGCCAATGAATCACTTGGACGAATAGTGAAATCCGTATATCCACAAACCTTACCTCGAATACGACGAAGCAACTCGTTCAGGGGGTGTTTTAACGTAAGCAGACTCTCCATCATAGTCCACGTACTATTCCATCGTGTAGGCACATCAAGCTTGGGCGTTATATAGTTCTCGCCCAGGTCACTACACACCACTTCAAGCGCTTCAGACAGCTTCGTTGATTCTGAAAAAAATTTCACGATGTCTCGCAAATGGCCAATCGCCGAATCAACAAATGGGCACTCATCGAGACCATCTTTTACTGCCAACTGCAGAACATGCGCGGTGCAGCGTAGCTGAATAACGGATCTTGCAGTCGAGCTAGTGGTGTTCCCGCGGGGCGATCCAGGGTCAGTCAATTCAGCGAGAACCGTTCGCGAAAGCCTATCAATATCGCGCTGCAATCGTTCGTTGATCTCAGCTACCATTGTAGTGTTGTTGGTGACATTGTCCGCTGTAATCGTCCAAATGCAGCTGAGAAGCGAGGCTTCCGTGTCTTTCTCTGCGCGAATGAAGTGGTCGGCGAGTCGTTTACCGGTGTGAGGATACATCACGCGCGTAAACGCAATAATAACAGAGCGGATCGGCCAGTTCTTGTCAATAAAGTGCAATGTTACCACCATGTAGCCTCGCTTCGACGGGGATGTCCACATGTCCGTCGTGAAGCTGACACGGCGCCCAGCAACTTCACGACAAATCTCTACCCGAGCAACACTCTCCTCCACATTCCACTGATCGAGCACTTTTTTTCGGATAGTCTGCTGGCAAGGGACATTGTACTCCGGACGTAGCTCCTTGCAAAACTCCACGAATTCCTCTTGATCAACAACCGCAAAAGAATGGGAATTCACCACGATCCATTTAATCAGCTTCTCATCGCAGCTCTTAACAGCATCTGGAGTCATCACAGCGGCGGCTATGCGGGTGGTGTCTCGAGAATTGGATGGGAGGGCGCTGGGGGTACCGTAGATCTCGGCATGATAATCGATGAGGTGCTTCCGGAAGTTGCCTGTGTTACAAGAGCTCCAGATCTTCTCGTCACCGGGGCACAACATGCATTTATAGGCACCAGTGCAGAGCTCTTCAACGTACTTGAAGACATCAGACGCGTTCTTTCGCTTGCGTTTCTGACCCACGGAGCTGGCGACACCAACAGAAGAGATAGATGGCCCTATAGAGGACAAAGTCGAGATGCTGTCGGTGTCGATGTCATGCTTGGTACGTGCGTGACGGGCGCGAGGTCGGAAGCGCGAGTTTCCGGGCTTGGGGGGGGGGGAATGGAGGAATGGAAAGACAGAAGTGGCGTTTTGCGGCCGGACAGGAGGCTACCTCCTCGAGGTCCTCGAGGTCCTCGGCTCCCGCGTAGTGGTCAAGTCCATTCCTCTCCGGTTCTCTCTCTCCTAGTCGATATGCTCGTATCAAGTCGATGAGGCGAAACTAAAATACACTGAGCAAGACAAAGCCATGATTGGTCCATTTTTGCCCAATAAACTTCCAGTCCAATCGGATTTGTTTCGGATTGGATCCGGCTTAAATCTGGTTGCCGTGGACCGGATTCAAGTCTATTCAAAACGGATTGGCTGATCCGTTTACATTATCTACCTGGTAGTAAGAAATCAATCACTTACTCACTCACTTACTCACTTACTCATTCACCCACTTTCATTTTCTCACTTACTTATAGCTATTTTATAATCTAATTGTACTTACTTGCTTTCTTACTTTCTTTTAAGAATTTTAAAATATCACTCTCTTCATCATTACTGTATATATGAGCTGTTTCTCATGAATGCATGCGCATACAGGGACTGAAGCATCGATTCGGGGTGAGTAGTGAAGGGGGTGGGTAGTATAGCCATCACCCGACACTTACAATTTAACGGAATAGTTTTAATGACGAATCGGCATGCGTCAGATTTAAGTACAGCCAACGAGTAAACTTTGAACTTCGGTTCTTACGCTCCAAACGTACTCGACACCTTCGGGCGCTTTGTTAACACGCGTTACCTGGACAACAAAAACCGGTATTGCGCTCATTCCGCACGACGCACGACGGGTCTCGCGGCCGATTAGTTAGAGAGTACGAGGAAGGCAGCAAAGGCTCTTGTAGATTCTGTATACCCACTGAGTTGAGACGATAACGACTTTTGCCCTTCTTGCATTGTTGTAACGAAATTGCTAACTCCCAGTAACACATCTACCCAACTTATTGCATCGGTATAAACACGCAGGATTGATGATCGTCTCAATGTCGAGGTTATCGACAAGTTGATTATTGTCCAAAAGGTCTTGCCTCTGGGCAAGGACATGTATGACGCTGTCGGCGCGCGCTATGATGAAGCGACCCAGTACGGGCACTAGCCGTAACTTGACGTGATGGAAGCCTGCGCAGAAAGTTCAAGACTCCGCACGGTATGTACAAGCCCACGGAGTGTGCTGATATCCCAGAGCAGATCGAGCAGCCTAAGAATATTAAGCAGCTCATTGACGAGGCATCGGGCATGTTCGTGTATTGAAGATAACGAAACCGAATGGATTCCGGATCACCGAGCTCTGCGACCTTCCTTGCGACAGTCCTTTGTGACTTTGACAAGATCGAAGTCGTGAGTCGACATGTAGTCGTCCGAGCCCCGTGTGTCTGATCCACTTGGAGCGATCCCAAAGAGCAGGACGTCTTTATCTACGTAAAATGCACAGGTATAGGTGAATACATGTATATGTACAAAGAACGAGTGGGGATTACAAAGAAAGTCGGATTAGACTGACCACTTGATTGCTAACAAAAACGACTCTCCCCATCATGCGTATGAGACAGTGCCATCCTACTATGCACGCGGGTACTCCGATCGGATCCGGCAGGGAATACACCTACTGGCTCTAATGGCATGCCTTATTGCATCCGATATAGCAGGGTATGCAAAAGAAACGGCACGCAAACACAAAAGAACACTATATACACTACATTTTACTCTGTAAGACTTTGGATGGGCCTACGCGAGCTAATGGAGCCCCAACAAAAGAATAGTAGCCTGAGAAAGTGGCCAAGTAGGAGAAAATCGGGCAGGCGTCCGCTATAATTATACAGACACGGCGTTAGCCAAATACATGTAGCGGTTGTAGAGAGGGGGGCAATTGATTGCTAGCTACGTACAACGGTTTTTTGTTTTCGAGGCATGCTGGGATGTAATCATAGGATTCTTCTAGCATAAACCTGCGCTTTTGCTTGATTTTTGTTCAACCCCAATAACAATGAACCCAAAGCTGTAGTATATACACCCTGTTAATTTGTAACTACCCATACGAAGGCGTCTTAGACAACATATTCGTTTGTCTGTGTCAACCAGTTTCCCGCAGGTTATAGACATGTGCCGTACTTATGGAAGACAATATTTAGATCAAGTACGCATATTTTTAACATGTAGTATACAGCTTTAACATGGATCAAAGTCAGGACCCGGAAAACCCCGTGAGTGCGGGGGGGTTAAGAACTCTGTCCCTTCAAGACAGCTGTGCGCCGGAAATTTACGTCGTCACGAAGGCGTACGTTTCAGGTCGCAACCAAGTACAAGGCTCGTGTTGGCGTCATAGCCGAGAGTTCTCTCCAACCAGAGCGCATTTCCCCACAGCGGGGGTGGACCCATCAATGCGACTGCTTCAAGCACGGTGGAAGATAGTCTCGCTAGTGCGGTTGAAGATCAATGAAGATGAAGGCCAGGTCGGTGAGCTTGCTGAAGAATGAAACGCTGGTGTTCAGTGAAATTTGGTAGTTAGTCCGAGAGGCGTTCACTCCTTTGAAGATGATTGGCGACCTCACTCGTGAGTAAGTCATTAGTCATACCTAATGAATGCACACCCTCTACTTCGGTTCCACTAATTACAGGCGTGCCGAGTGCCCCCGCTCTCGATGATCAAGGACGGCGATGCAGTATTCTCCAGTTCCACTCCACGTGTGGATTGGGGAATAGACGTCTCAACCAGAATGATGAGGTTTACTCAGACCGCCCGGTTGCTGAAATTGGGTACCCAAATCCGAAAAAAACTCGTTCAGAGACCCGAAAAGTGCCCCCCCCCCCCCGCAGTTGCGGGTACACATGTTCATCAGGACATAATGCACCAGGACTGTTAGACGAATTTCGCAGTACAGCACTAACATCAAAACGAAGCAAGAAAAGCTACACGCTATAATACATGTAACTGAGATATGCAGGCGACACGTTTAAGCGCGGTGTTGCCGCTGCACTTGACGTGTTTCGGGCCGAGGTACATGCATGTTGGTCGAAATCGCTAGGCTGCACATAATTACGAGACCGATGAACGATTTATACTCCGATTATGATTGAGACATCCCCGATTTATTGGTCTTCAAATCCGCTGTGAGCGATGCTTAACCGGCTAATTCAGCAGGACAAACTAATCGGTTTTCACAATACCCGTATCACCCCTGTCCTAAGCGAACGTCAATGTGCGTTCTAAGAGTTAGGGCTAGTCTCACGGCTGTATGATTAGAGTCTAAAATTTAGTAATTAGGCTAATTCATCTGACTCGAAATATGCACTAGGCAAGAGTCCCTGATTGATTGTCTGCATCAATCGTTTGGTTATATCCATTTTCTCGTGCCCGAGCTTCCTGGTATACCTTCTGGTGTGTTGGTGCGAAGAATAACGTGTCTTTCGGTCAATAGGCTCGCCATCCGTCTATGATTAGCGTGGTTGGCGCAGCGATTAATAACCAACCATATGCCGATAATATGGCTCTGTCATTGGACAATACAGAAATTCGCTTAGGAGAAAACTTCGCTTAGGACAGGGGCGATACGGTACCACCCCTCGTGCGAAAGATTTTGCTTTTTTTTTAAAGTCGAGCATAAACACACTTTTAGCGGAAAAGTTCTGCTGACACCGGAAAGTTGTAGACTCTAAGTGTGCTTTCTGGTGTAACTAAGTGTGGGATAAGAACTACGCTCTGAGACACTTAGCTGCAAGATGCCGTCCAGGACGGGCCTTCTCAAATTTCCAAATTCTGAATTCGTGGCGCCATCCATTCCTCAAAGTGGCGAAGCAACATGGTAAGGCAATTGGTGCGGCTGCGAGGCAAATAACGGGGCTGACTTATGGTCTATGACAGAGCGAGCTTAGCGAAGGAGGCACGGACGAAGACCGCGAGCAAGGAGACATGCTGCTTGAAGGCCGCGACCGTCTGGCGGAGCTGCGAGAAAGACGTCGTGACCTGGAGAATGGTAGTGGGCAGCGGGGCATGAGCAGCGGTGAATCTGAGAGGTTGCAGCAGGAGACACAAGCCGCTGCCTTTGATCTGGCCCACGAAGCCATGAGTGCAGAAGCCGTAAAGGCGTTTGTGAAGCTAAAGCGAGCCGAGTATGCAGCTAAGCATGCTCCGTTGGTGGCGCCGACGGGTGCCGGCATGGTGATGCGGCCACCTGAAAAACGAGGCAGGGCGTGCCGGCCCGAGCGCTTCGCAGATCTGGTAGCAGATAGCTACGACTCTTCAAGTGCAGAAGACAGCGAGTTTGCGTCGGAAGTTTCTGGAGAACGCTCTGACCCGGACACAGACGCTGCTAGGCAGTTTTTTGGGCTAAGCGACTCGACCGACGAAGCTTCGGACGCTGAAGAGTCCACTGCGGATGAGATTCACGAGGAAGGCACACGGACGCCTGACGTAAACGCATGTACTGGGGTTCTGCTCGGATTTCCGTCTCAGTGGTGGTCGTGGAAAAGATTTCATAACGCGCTTAACACATTTTCCGCTAAGACCAAGCAGCGTTTTGTTGTCCGGTCCTCACAAACTGTACCCAAGCGAAATAGACAGATGAGTAGCAAGGATGGCCACTACCCTCGCAGTTGGAAACACTACTAAGAGATTCGACTGAGGTCAATCCGTGTCACTTGGGTTGCAACAACAATGTATGAAGATGTATAGTAGAATACTTGTTGAATGTCTACGAGTAGCGAGTGACGGTTGAAGGCATTGACTGCGAGAGACACTAGCTTGTGACTCGAGGGTTACGAGCGACAGCATGCGTGCTGTGCTCTCATGGCTGCGGCCATAGTAGTTAAGATAGAGTCTACGGGGGTTTTACCGCTTGAGAAGCTTTCCCCTACAATAACACTTAAACAACAAGAATCACAACCAATTTTACACTGAAGTACACACTTTCATTCCTGTACTCGACTAGCCCTTCGCACACAACTACTTCGCGTAACTCAACACAACTCATCCACATCGGCAAAGTGCTCAGAGTTGCGGCAGCGATTCTCTTAGGTTATGAGCCCAAGTGGCTACTGTGGATTCGAGTAGTGAACGGCACCAAGTCTGGAGCTTCAACGCATTCTTCAAGGCCTGCAGCCCCTCGGACAGGGTCAGCAGCCCCCAGCACAAGGACAACAAGTGCCCCAACAGCAAGGACAAGATCCCCAGCAGCAACAGCAAGCTTCCCAACAGCAAGGGCAAGCTGCACCGCGGCAGGAGCAGCAGCCGCATGGCCAAGGACGCAATGTTGCTCGACAACCAGCGGTGAGGAAGGTTTCTGGAACGACTAAAGTACCTAAATTCGATGCCGACGGCGGGTTTGACCTGTACAAAGCTCGTCTAGAGTCCTACCTGCGCCAGCGTGATTGCTGGAACGTGGTTCTCGGGGCTGAAGTACCCGATTCGCAGGATGAAGAGCGCAATTTGTTCGCGCGAGATGCTCTACTCTACGGACTTCTGTCAAAAGATGCTAAGAAGGTCTGTAAGATGACGCGCGTGAGTGAAATGTGGACTGCCTTCGAAAGAGAGAAGACAAAACGTGATTTTGCCAACAGCATCCGAGTTCGGGCAAAGTTGTTTGGAGCAAAATATACAAAAGGCACGAGCATGGATAAATATTTGGAGAGTCTCGAAGACTACCGACGCCAGCTTGAAAACATGAATTCGCCGATTAGTGACGATGAAATGGCGAGAATTATCCTGACCAGTGTAGAAGGAACTCATCGGAATGTTATCAGGATGTTCGGACAATTGGACAGCCCTCCTGACCTCGAGCGCGTGTTGAACACTTTGCGGACGGAATCAGAGATGGATAGAGCGGTAGCGGAGCAGAGTGGAGGTGTCAAGCGGAAATTTGAGGAAGGTGAAAAGTTGATCGGAGCTGTGAAATTCAAGAAACCTTGGAAGGGAAAGCAGCGCCGTAAAAACGACAATGGTAAGAAGGAGACGCGAGAATGCAATTATTGCCACAAAGTTGGATATCTCTGGGCAAATTGCCGCAAACGCCTCGCTGAGATGGACGACCGAAAGCGGAAACGCCAAGAAGATGCCTCGGACAGCAGTGACGAGGACAAGCAGCCGAAGAAAAAGGGCAAGAGGTCGAAGAATATTGGTTTCGTGGGACGATGGACGAAGAGCTCTGGTTCGATTAAGATGATGCGAGCTCCCGAGTCGGAGGATAACAGCAAGTCGAATAGACAGATTATGGCTTACACTGGTGGTCGATCGAGTCAAGCTTGGATGCTTGATACTGGTACTGCTGTGCATGTGTGCACAAGTGAGTCTACATTCGGATATGGCATGAGAGAGGATACGAACTTCTTTGACGACTGGAGAGGTGAAAGTAACAGCTCAGACGGTATTGGGTTGGTGAAAATTCACGTCCAGAATGACATGGATCCTGACGGACCTGGTGTTGCGCTGGACTTGAAGGAGACCCGGTACTCGTCGAGAGGATCGACCAACCTCATCAGTCAAGAGCAACTGGAGCAAGACGGATGGGAACCTACGACGCCAAAGGCAGCGTCACCAGAAGAACAAATCACGATCTTCTTGCACAACGATTATGAAGGTATGCAAATGGTGTTTAGAAAAAGAAATGGGCATTATTGGCTGGATGCAACCCCTGTACTGCCTAGCAACCCGGTTTGCGCGGCAACTACGACTCCGAAAATTGATAAGGTGATGGCGTGGCACATGAAACTTGGACATCCGAACTTGGAGGGGATAAGAGGATGGTCCGAATGGACATGGTGGGAGGTTTGGACCTGACACTCGCAGATTTTAAGATACTATTCCGCTGCATTGCCTGTCAGCGTGCAAAACAAAAGCGCATGTCGTTCCGATGACACGGCAAGCGTCAGAAGAGATGTTGAGCGCGTCTGATGTCAGACATTAGCCCCGTTGGAATACTGACACCTGGAGGAAATAGCTACTTTCAGATCATCGAAGACGAAGCTTCGAGATTTAAGTGGTGCTTGCTCCTGAAGAAGAAGAGTGATACAAACCAGCACACTATGGATCTACTGCTGAAATTGGAAAAGGAGCATGTGATCAATATTTTCTCGAGCGACAAAGGAGGTGAGTTTCTCAACAACGCGCTGAAGGCCTTCTTGGCTTCGCGCGGTATTGACTTTTTGACTACCAACGGATACACGCCGGAGGAAAATTGTCTAGTGGAGAAGCTGAATGGACACCTAATGAATAAGGTGCGGGCGATCAGTGAAGCAGCAGGTTTACCTGACAGTTTGTGGGGTGAAGTGCTCGGGTACGTGGTTGATGTGGACAATATGACTTCGACTAAGGCGCTGAAAGGTATGACTCCGTTTGAGAAGCTGCATGGGCACAAACCACAGCTGGACGACCTGCATGTGTGTGGATGTGTGGTGTTTCACCACATCCCGAAGAAGAAGCGCAAGAACAAGATGGATATGCGTTCGGACTCTGGGATTTTTCTGGGCTACGCTACTACCTCGCTCGGCTATCGTATTCTCGACCTGTGTACTGGCAATGTAGTGGAGCGCCGAGATGTCTTCTTTTATGAAGATATGGCGGCAGATCCTAAGTACGTGCACGACCTCATCGATAAAGCGTACTTTGAGAAGGAAGTCGATCTGCCAGACCACATTGACTTCGTCTCGCTTCCCGTTAGCCGTGTGCATTTACCAATGAGAGTGAGAATGAAGAATCTGACTGAGAGTGAAAGTGGTCGGTTTGAGGAGATTCCTGAGCCAATGGAAGATGAAGAAGAGGAATTTTACGATACCGACGACGGCATGGCGGAACAATTTGACGATAACGAAGTAAGTGAGGATGACAGCAGTGATTACAGCAGCAGTAGTGCTGAGGAGGATGACGATAATTCGGGTAGCTGCGAGGACATGGAGGATGTTACTCCTGCTACACCGCAAGTCGCAACTGGTGATAATGTGACTACCGACGCAGGCAGATTGAGTACTGCAAGTACTAGTGGGAGATCTAGAGGGGCTGGCCGTAGTGGGAGAGCTAGTGCTGCTGCGAATACTGGACGTGCTCCCGCACCGTCAGCGGCACGAGGACGTGGAACTAGTGGGGGCGGGGGGCGAGCACAGCGGACTCCTCCAACTGTTTCACTGCGAAAGTCGACTCGAGCCTGTCGCCAAACGCGGCGATACAGCCCCCAGAGTTTTTTTTATGATCAGACACTGTTTCAATGCATGATGATTGGAGCGGTGTGCAACTTACTGAATCCTGCAACCGTGACGGAGGCTCTTGCATCTGAGCATGGACCTAAGTGGCAGAAAGCGATGGACACCGAGTACGAATCATTGATGACGAACAATACGTGGGAATTAGTACCTAGACCGAAGTCCACCAAGGACAATCCAGTCAACGTATTGACTTCACTGTGGGTGTTAGTCTGCAAACGAAACGAAAAGGATTGGATAGAGCGGTTCAAGGCGAGATTGGCGATTAAGGGATATCGGCAAAAGTTTGGACTCGACTATTTGGAAACGTACTCACCTGTAGTGAGAATCGAGTCGGTGCGGCTCGTACTGTTGTTAGCTCTACTGTTTGGCCTCGACTGTCGGCATGTTGACTTCGTGACCGCGTTCCTGAATGGTGTGCTCACCGGTGTTGAGATTTTTATGGAGCAGCCTGAGGGCTACAATGACGGCACTGGGCGAGTCTGTCGCCTACTTAAAGGACTATATGGACTAAAGCAAGCCTCGCGAATCTGGAATAACACGCTTCACAAGCACCTGGTTGAGATCGGGTTCAAGAAGTGTACGTTTGACGCTGGAGTGTATTGGAAAGAAGGAAAGCACAACAAAGTCTTCCTGACCGTGTATGTTGATGACATACTGATCGCCGCAGACCCGAGAGATGCTGACGGCGTGGTGGAAGCGCTGGGCAAGATGTTCAAATTGAAGGACTTAGGCCGGGTCAAACATCTATTGGGGATGGAGATTAATTATGAGCCGGGCAAGATATTGTGCATCTCGCAGACAGCGTACGTTGAGCGTATGCTTGAGAAGTTTGGATTAGCAGCAGCAAAATCAGTGCGGTCTCCTCAAGTTCACAACGAACGAACTGTACGAGTGGAGAAAACCCCCAACCTGATTAATGATCCGAAGCTGCCATTTCGCGAGATGATAGGGTCTCTACAATACCTAGTGCACTGTACCAGACCTGATTTGGCAAATGTGGTGCGGACACTTGGTCGATACGGAGGACCATACACAGTAGCGAACTTCCGGCAGGCGCAACGCGTGTTGAGGTACTTGCGTGGTACCAAGCACCTTGGTCTGGTATATCGCTATGCAGCAGTGGCTAGTGATGGTGTGGTGATCGATGCGTTTGCGGACGCAGATCACGCCGGGTGTCCTGAAACGAGCAAATCTGTTTCTGGTTGGACCTTGAGGCTAAATGGCAATGTTTGGCACTGGCAGAGCAAGAAGCAGGGAAGTGTGGCTGATGACACCTGTGCTGCGGAGCTGATTGCCGCCCACAAATACACGAAAGAGATTAAATGGGCACAAAAGCTGCTGAAGGATATTGGAATCCCGCAACAGAAAATCGCAACACTATACTGCGACAACCAGAGTACCCTGAAATAAGTCGAAAATAATGGAAATTCGCAGGAGATGAAGCACCTGGGGAAAAAGACAAGGTCGATTGCTGAGTGGATCGATCGTGGACACATGCAAATGGAGTACATGCCCACAACTGAGAATATTGCGGATATTTTCACGAAAGCACTGGGCCCGTGTGTCTTTGAGCGTCTGCGTGACCTGCTCAACATTGAAGACGTACCAATGGCGTGGCCGTCTGAGGGCGGACCTACTGTCGCTGCGGCGACTGCGAGCGAGTCTGACAATGCGTTGGACATTGTGATGAGCGACGATTGAGTTGGCCGAGGCCTTCTTACGTGCTCACACGTGGATTTGGATGCGTCCAGACCACAGTTTGATATTATTGATGCAATGAATGAAGCTGCACGTTCGAAACAACTTTGTTAAGCCTCTGGCTTGGGTGTTTGCGGGCACACCAGTGACTTCTGTGGAAGTCGCGAACTTGTTCAACTGCGTGTTGACTCAAAGGTGGATCAACGGTGATTGGCTGAGGCCATCAAGACTGTATTCACATTGAACTTGGATGCGTCCAAGCTAGGGTTTATATTGTATGCTTGTATATGCTGTGAAACCCAACTGAAGTGGGAGTAAGAGATTCGACTGAGGTCAATCCGTGTCACTTGGGTTGCAACAACAATGTATGAAGATGTATAGTAGAATACTTGTTGAATGTCAACGAGTAGCGAGTGACGGTTGAAGGCATTGACTGCGAGAGACACTCGAGGGTTACGAGCGACAGCATGCGTGCTGTGCTCTCATGGCTGCGGCCATAGTAGTCAGATAGAGTCTACGGGGGTTTTACCGCTTGAGAAGCTTTCCCCTACAATAACACTTAAACAACAAGAATCACAACCAATTTTACACTGAAGTACACACTTTCATTCCTGTACTCGACTAGCCCTTCGCACACAACTACTTCGCGTAACTCAACACAACTCATCCACATCGGCAAAGTGCTCAGAGTTGCGGCAGCGATTCTCTTAACTCCAAGATCCTGATCTGTTCACACGGAAACAAGCCGCGATCACGCAGTAGTGGTGTCCGACAGCATCGCACCGTTCGTTACACTGGTTGTACAGCCAAAGTGCACGCCTTACTGGCGAGGTTAGGCAAGCGATACTACATCCATGTTCGTTCCAGTGGTTGCCATAACCACAACGTGGACGGAAATGTATGGAACTACTATGCTGAGAACCGGACAATTCATGATCCAGCGATTCTCGCCACAATGTCCGACATGGCTTCGGCTGGGGCCACGCCAAAGGGGATACTTGCATGGTTTCGGAAGAAGACAGGTATGTAATGGTACAGGCTGATGCACCACTATTGTGCTTTACTAACGTTTGTGTGTGTATATGTAGAGAAGAAGACTAAGCTCAAGGACGTGCACAACATGCTCCAGGACCTAAAGAAAGCTGACAAACGGAATATGTCGGACGTGAAGCGAACGGAAAGTATTCTGGAAGAGTTCACAAGTGAGCATGAAGGCAACACGGCGCAGATATTTGTCGACAAGGCGAGAGGCGTGGATGTAGCTGTGACGCTTCAATCCGCCGGGATGAAGCGATTGTTTGCAGCATTTCCTGAAGTTCTGATGGTGGATAGTACCCATGACACCAACTGCAATGGCTACAAGCTTTTTAGCTTTATCGTGCATGACTGCTTTGGAAAGGTAAACGAATAAGGATATCGCTCCTGTTACAATGTGTGATGTCTAAGTGTGTTTTGTTGTGACTGTGCTTAGGGACAACGCTTTTAAAGCCTGCAACCCACAGTTTAACGAAGTGAAAGTGGTGATTGACCGACAAAGCGCTCCACGAGAAGGACATCCTGGCGGAAGTATTCACGAGAGCGAGGCAGCTGCTTTGCCAGTTCCACGTGCAGCAGTGGTTCTCGAAGCAGGTGACCAGATTGGTGAGGGGCTGTCCAGAGGAGAAGGCAATCATTGAGGCTTCAATGGCCCAACTCATCGATTCCACGAGCGCGAAGGAGTACGACAGTCAGAAAGCACTGCTTCTTGACTTACTTGGCGGCAATAAACAGCACAAGCTGTACCAATTGTTTGTGAAGAACTGGGATAACACGCAAGACGAGTGGGTTGCGTATCGACGAGGAAACATCCCACATCTCAGAAACAACACGAACAATAGACTCGAATCAAAGTGGGGCAAACTCAAGCAGCTAATTATGTCAGACTACCCCATGGACGAGCTGGTATCGACGCTGATCATGATCCAAGAATGGGCAGAAGATGAGTACGTCGAAGAGTACAACAAACCTGAGTCTAGACCCCCTTTTGCAGAGCACCACGAGCTGGCTTCACTTGGAGCCGCTGTCAGTCCATTTGCCTTCGATCTCGTGGCGGGCCAATTCAAGTCGGCTTTGTCCGGTGATGCAAACTATGTGATTGAGGGTGCTGGCGAAGATGCCAAGTTGCTGAGCCTCCGGTCTGGCCAAGTGCACACGTTGAACACGAAGGTAAGGCTCCATGTCATAACGCTTTGCGGTGTCGCGCAGTGTGTGTTTTCCGGTGTCGCGCAGTGTGTGCTTTCCGGTGTCACGCAGTGTCACGAGCTAACGATGTGCGTGTTGTGTCTGGTGCAGACTTACAAGTGCGACTGCACTTTTGCTCAAACGTTGTTGCTACCGTGTCGACATGCTATGTTTTATCGAAAGACAAACGGAAATGAGAGTGTGCTACCTCCGTTTTCATTGTTGTGTCCGCGATGGCTAAGAGCTCACCCATTGAACAACATCCGCGAGGGGCCAGTCTATACCGGAGAATTTGAGTACCACAGCATCGACAGCGCTGAGAGCGTTGCCCCGGTCGTTGCACCCGTGAAATAGGACGCGAAGTACTCCCAAGCCAAGCAACTGACTGACGAGCTGCTCTCCTTGCTACCAAACCAGCCCACACCAACGTTTCAAGCAGCGATGTGATGGCTTAGAGGCTTTACAAAGTCTGTACACGATGGTGAATTGGAGAATTTCGCTGGCTTCGTACCTGATGCTGCTGCCCTTGACAAAGTGCCGCCGTCAGCAATCGCAGCACCGACGCAAATAGTGGTAACCGTTTCGGAAGATATGGATCTCGACGAAAAAGCCCCGGCGACTGCCGTATTTCAGTCAAATGATAACATCACCGCCCACAAACCTTCCGACTACGCATTTACGAAGCCAGTGAAAAACAAGAAGATGTCTAAGAAAGTCCACAGCAAGATCGCTCGCCTACAACTCAAGATGGGATTGAGCAATTTAGCAAACTTGTGCGAGGGTGGCGTACCCTCCTCGACGCCGTCAGCCTCCGACATCGACAACATTCTATCTACGAACTATTCCTACCATTCCGTAGCGCCGGCATTGGAGAAGTATGACATTCCAGCGTGCGACGTAGCCGAAGATGCAGGCCTTCGACTGCTTCGCGAAGGGGAAGAGCTCACTCTCGACCGACGATTTGACTAAACGTCTCCCTGCAGACAAAATTACCTACGCGCTTACTATTCTACCTCTACGTGGGGCAGATCAGTACGTGGCTACCTGGAGGGAGTTCGGAGCCACCACTCGTGAGCAGCTCTTGTTCTTAGAGCGGTACGTAGGTGCTATGAACCAGCTTAGCACTGTGGATCATACAGCAGAATGGGTAGAAGATGCGAGTTGGACTCCTGCCGACATCGAAGCTGTGCCAGTAATGTTCTGGGCACCACTGCAAGAAAAACGGGTACAGTTTGATGTATTTAACTTACAGATACCGGAATTGCTACAGCGTCTAACACCGGAAAAATGTTTGTGCATGTGCTGCAGGAAATCATGCAACAAAAAATTCGGGACTTGTCTCTTCAACTGTCAGTTATCGGGGGTGAAGCAATCGATGGCCACAGCCTGCTAAGCTTCCGACCCAGCCAGTGGCTAAGTACGACAGCGATTTTGGTCGTGATGAAAGCTCTAGCGCTGAAGTACCATGACGTGGGCGTTGCAAGTCCCTCCTTCTTGGAACCGAAGGCACCCGATCGCAAGCGAGTGGTTGCGAATGCATACAAGGCCTTTTCTCCCGTCAAGGGCGACATTATTGGAGCGTTGAACTTTGGCTCGGCACATTGGGTCGCCTTCCACATTAATGTGAAGTCGAGACAGTCCCGGCTTTTTGATCCTCAACAAGGCGCCAAAAATTACGTCAAGCTAAAGAAGAGCTTGAGGGAAGTGGTGGAGCCGCTGCTACCGATGGACACAAAGCTCATGTACTTCAAGTACGTTTCGTGTGTGCAACAAGACTCCGATAATTGCGGTATATTATGTCTTGTTATGCTGGAGCTCACTCTAGCAAAGGAAAAATGGCACAAGGGATTATACAAACTAGCGCCGTACCTATGCCTGCGCTATCTGAACCTGAGCTTAGATTACATCAACGATCGACGTCTCGAGGGGAACTAGAGCGCATGCTGGTGGACTGAAGTAGCTAACGATGGACTGAATTTTGCTATTTATGGACTCAATTGCTTTACTATGGACTGAATTCACTGATTACGGGCTGTGACTACATTGATTGGTGGCTGCATGATGCACGGCGAGCTGCTACGATAGCCGAAGTGGCTGCGTTTGCGGACTGCTTAAAGCTACATGTATCTAAGTACTACAGCAGTAGAAGGTAACAAGATGAGAACTACAGTAACATGTACAGCCGCTTCGGATATCTAAATTTAGAGTTTTCATTACATTCCTTCTTGTGATAAAATGGTCATGTGTTGGTACTGTAGAGCGAGGTCATGATAAAAATCATGATCGGTTGAAGTCTCCCTCCGCTGTTTTTTTCGGTATCAGTAGCAATAGCCCTTTTTTCAGAGGATGGGCAACGACGACTCAATGAAGGGGCGGGCCAAATAGAATACAATGTACAATGCACGACGAATGCATGTGTAGTATTTTCTAAAACAGGAATGCTGCAGAGCTGCGGAGGCTGTTTCGTTAGTGTGGATGCGTGGGTATATAAAAGTAAAGAACCGTTGATAGCACTGGGCGTCAGACCGACACCTTCTGTCTCCTCACGCTACACGCCAGCACAATCGCACACATCAGACGCCCTTGGATTGTGCTTTTTCGCTAGCAAACACGCGAGGTCACCCCCAGAGAGCCAATCAAAGCGGTAACGCGTCCACAAGTCGGTCCGTGGTGCCGACGCACCCCTCACTGTTAGTGCTCGGCTCTTGTGCTCCGCCAGTTGTCCGATGTCGCTTCAAGCTTCGATTGATGACGGTCAATTTCCGAAATTAGCCTATTTTCGGTTCTCAGTGCTTCATTTCAGTACTTTTTGGCCGCCTGTTGATGCTCGAAACGGCTGCACGGGTCATTCGATTGTGCTCACAATGGCGGGAATGCAGCGATCGACCCAATGACTTGGCCCGAGCGCGCAACGCAAACCACCACACCACTCGCGACTCCATTCGTGCGGCACTGGTGACCACATTTCTGAATTTGACGAGAGGCAGTCAGCCCCGCAGCTTGAAAGACTGGCGACAGACATCCTCAGTAGTTTTAGAGATGGCTCCTCAGTCAACTGCGGACGACAACAGCAGCCTCGCCAGCAACAAGGGCCAGTTCGGCCTCGAGTCTGGCCAGGCGCTCATGGCCGAGGGCTCGGCCGTGCTGCACGATCACATCGTGGGCAAGATGGAGGTCGCGCTGGGCAGCGAGCTCCCGCAGATGGACGTGCGCTTCAAGAACCTGTCGCTCACGGCCGACATCGTCGTGGTCGAGGACGACGGCTCCAAGAACGAGCTGCCCACGCTGCCCAACACCATGAAGAAGGCGTTCGTGGGCCCCAAGAAGCGCACGGTCCGCAAGGAGATCCTCAAGGACATCAGCGGCGTCTTCCAGCCGGGCAAGCTCACGCTGCTGCTGGGCCAGCCGGGCTCCGGCAAGTCGGCGCTGATGAAGATCCTCAGCGGCCGCTTCCCCATGGGCAAGAACATCACGCTGGACGGTGACATCACCTTCAACAGCGTCAAGCGCCAGCAGATCATCAAGACGCTACCCCAGTTCGCGGCCTACGTGAACCAGCGCGACAAGCACTTCCCCACCTTGACGGTCAAGGAGACGCTCGAGTTCGCGCACACCTTCTGCGGTGGCGAGATCGCCCGCCGCGGTGAGGAGCTCTTCTCGAACGGCTCGCAGAAGGAGAACCTCGAGGCGCTCGAGCTGGCGAGCTCCGTGTTCAACAACTTCCCGGAGATCGTCCTCCAGCAGCTCGGACTCAAGATTTGCCAGGACACGATCGTCGGTGACGCCATGATGCGCGGTATCTCCGGTGGTGAGCGCAAGCGAGTCACGACTGGTGAGATGGAGTTCGGCATGAAGTACGCGTCTTTCATGGACGAGATCAGTACGGGTCTGGACAGCGCGGCCACCTTCGACATCATCACCACGCAGCGCAGCATCGCGCATCGCCTTCACAAGAACATCGTGATCGCGCTGTTGCAGCCGTCGCCCGAGGTTTTCGCTCTCTTCGACGACGTCATGATCCTGAATGATGGCGAGTTGATGTACCACGGCCCGTGCGACCGAGTGCAGGGCTACTTCGACAGCTTGGGCTTCGAGTGCCCCGTGGGCCGCGACATTGCCGACTATCTGCTGGACTTGGGAACGCAGGAGCAGTACCGCTACCAGACGCGGGAGGCTCCGCGTGGTGGCAAGCACCCGCGCTCGCCCAAGGAGTTCGCCGACACTTTCAAGCAGTCGGACATCCACTTCGACATGCTCAAGGCGCTGGACACCCCTCACGACCCGAAGCTGCTGGCCACTATCCAGAAGCACATGGAGCCCACGCCGGAGTTCCACCAGGGCTTCTTCGAGAGCACCATGACGCTGTTCCGTCGCCAGCTCATGATCACCTACCGCAACAAGCCGTTCGTCTTCGGTCGTCTGCTGATGATTGGTGTCATGGGTCTTCTGTACTGTTCGACTTTCTACAAGTTCGACCCGACGCAGGTGTCGGTGGTCATGGGTGTCATCTTCTCGTCGATCATGTTCCTGTCCATGGGCCAGTCGTCCCAGATCCCCACGTACCTCGCCGAGCGTGACATCTTCTACAAGCAGCGCGGTGCCAACTTCTACCGCACGGCCTCTTACGTGCTGGCCCAGTCCGTGGGTCAGATCCCGTTGGCGATCGCAGAAACGCTCATCTTCGGCTCATTGGTGTACTGGGTCTGTAGCTTCGAAGCAGACTTCTGGCGGTTCATCATCTTCCTGATCATCCTGCTGGTGATGAACCTGGCCATGGGAATGTGGTTCTTCTTCTTGGCGGCCATTTGTCCGAACGGCAACATCGCGTCCCCTGTCAGCCAGGTTTCCATCCTGGTGATGGTTATCTTCGCTGGCTTCATAGTGACGGCCGGCACGCTTCCAGACTGGTTAATTTGGTTGCATTGGATCAGTCCGATGTCGTGGGCTCTGCGCGCGCTGTCGATCAACCAGTACCGCGCAGCGAGCTTCAACGTGTGCGTCTACGGCGGAGTTGACTACTGCGCCGAGTACAACGGCCTGACCATGGGCGAGTACTACCTGCAGATGTTTGATATCCAGACGGACACGGCTTGGGTCGCTTACGGAGTCATCTACGCGGTGGCAGTGTACGTGGTCTTCATGTTCCTGTCGTTCATCACTCTCGAGTACGTTCGCTACGAAGCCCCGGAGAACGTGGATGTGTCGGAGGCTCAGGCTGACGATGACACGTACGCTCTGCTCGAGACACCGAAGAACAAGAAGGGCTCAGTGGGCGGTGAAGTCATCCTTGACCTTCCGCACAAGCACGAGAAGAACTTCGTTCCAGTGACGGTGGCGTTCCGGGACCTGCACTACTTCGTGCCGAACCCGAAGAACCCGAAGGAGCAGCTCGAACTGCTCAAGGGCATTGATGGATACGCTCTTCCTGGCTCCGTGACTGCGCTCATGGGCTCCTCCGGTGCTGGTAAGACGACGCTGATGGATGTGATCGCTGGACGCAAGACCGGTGGCAAGATCACGGGTAAGATTCTGCTGAACGGCTACGAGGCGACCGACCTCGCCATCCGTCGTAGTACCGGCTACTGTGAGCAGATGGACATCCACTCCGAGGCCGCTACAATTCGCGAGGCCTTGACTTTCAGCTCGTTCCTGCGCCAGGACACCTCGATCTCAGACGAGAAGAAGATTGATTCGGTGAACGAGTGCATCGAGCTGCTCGGACTGGAAGACATTGCCGACCAGATCATCCGTGGCAGTTCGGTGGAGCAGATGAAGCGCCTGACGATCGGTGTGGAGCTTGCTGCGCAGCCTAGTGTGATTTTCCTGGACGAGCCGACGAGTGGCCTGGACGCGCGTTCGGCCAAGATCATCATGGACGGTGTTCGTAAGGTGGCCGACTCGGGTCGTACCATTATCTGTACCATTCACCAGCCCTCGGCTGAGGTGTTCTACCTGTTCGACAGCCTTCTGTTGCTGAAGCGTGGTGGTGAGACGGTGTTCTACGGTGACTTGGGCGAGAACTGCCGCAATTTGATCGACTACTTTGAGAACATCCCTGGTGTGGCCCCGCTTCCGAAGGGCTACAACCCGGCCACTTGGATGCTGGAGTGTATCGGTGCCGGTGTAAGCAACTCGGTGGCGGACAACATGGACTTCGTGAGCTACTTCAAGAACAGCCCGTACTGCGCGAAGCTTCAGGCGGATTTGGCCAAGGAAGGTGTGACGACGCCGTCGGCCGAGTACCCGGAGCTGGTGTTCGGCAAGAAGCGCGCGGCCAGCTCGGCGACGCAGATGAAGTTCCTGGTCCAGCGCTTCTACGACATGTACTGGCGCACGCCGTCGTACAACTTGACCCGGCTGGTGATATCGGTCTTCTTATCGCTCCTCTTTGGCGTTATCTTCGTGGGCGTAGACTACGCGTCATACACTGGTCTGAACTCGGGTGTTGGCATGGTCTTCATGGCCTCGCTGTTCAACTCGATGGTGTCGTTCCAGAGCGTGCTGCCGCTGGCCTCGGAGGAGCGCGCCTCTTTTTACAGGGAGCGCGCGAGTCAAACGTATAATGCGTTCTGGTACTTCGTGGGCTCGACGCTCGTGGAGATCCCGTACTGCTTCCTCAGCGCTCTGATCTTCACGGTCATCTACTTCCCCATGGTGGGCTTCTCCGGCTTCGCGAACGGTGTATTGTTCTGGCTGAACCTGGCGCTGCTGATCTTGATGCAGACGTACTTCGGCCAGTTTTTCTCGTACGCGCTGCCCAGCGAGGAGGTCGCGGCCATCATCGGCGTGCTCATCAACTCAATTTGCTTCTTGTTCATGGGCTTCAGTCCCCCGGCCTACGCCATCCCGTCGGGCTACAAGTGGCTGTACACCATCGTCCCCCACCGGTTCGCGCTGTCCAACCTCGTGTCCATCGTCTTCGGCCAGTGCTCGGACATGCCCACGTGGGATGAGGCTTCTCAGTCGTACTCGAACGGCGGCTCGGAGCTGGGCTGCCAGCCGATGGCCAACTCGCCGGTGACCGTGGGCCACATCACGCTGAAGGAGTACGCGGAGCAGTACTTCGGCATGGACTACGGCGACCTCTGGAGGAACTTCGGCATCGTCATCGCCTGGATTGTTTGCTTCCGTCTCCTTGGCCTGCTGTCGCTGCGCTACGTGAACCACCAGAAGAGATAGTGAACTTCTGTGAGTGCACGAAAAGACGCGATAAACTTAGCACATGTACGTGTTTGACTGCATGTAAAGAGAAGTGAACGCTTTGTGTTTGACCCCAATGTACTGCGGTGCTTGATGATGGCAAGAAGCACCAGAAGCAGTGGATATTTCCTGGGGGTGTCGCGATGGTGGCAGTAATACGTAGGTCCTTCGTGAATGTAGAAGTTGTGAAAGTAAGGTTAGGAGGAATGGAAGACAGTAAGGTGACGGCCCTTTCCATTTGTGGCTCAAAAGCTGGTCTCACCGCAGCTGGCCCAGGGCTGTGATTGTGCTCGCGGTTCCTGAATTCAGAGCTTCAGGGTCTCTACATACAGCAGTGACTTGCGTTTGACAGACGCGCTCGCATCTCAAGATTGCAAAGGTTTTTGCTCAGGATAGCTAATGTACAAGATGCGGTTTATGCCAAGGCCAATGTGTCGCATCCGTATATGTAGCCTAGCGAGGCCTGCCATCATCGATGCTAAGTCGACGCCAGCGTTTTGGTGGAGCTGCATTCATGACGATTTGTTACCGTCCTTGAAGTAATCGGGCCGGATTGAGCCAATCGCGGCTCAGATCCGGACTGAGGTTTAGAGTATCACTTCAACACTGTAGTTGCACTGAGATGTACCGGAACGCTCCTCACCTCTCCGTTTCACTTAACATGACTACAGAGCAACAACCCTTTGTGGTTGACGCCGTGGCATCCCTGTCAGCTAGGTCGTCATCCCCGGCCACCTCGTTGATGCCCTTCCGCGTTTGACGCGGCCGGGTCAAGTTCATTCTCGAATTTCCTGTCCAGCTACCAAGCCGACCAAGGGACAACGATGGAAGCCATGTCGCCGGCCACCCGCAAGCGGCTCGGGTACGAGTCCGGCGCCGCCTTGATGGCCGAGGGCCCGCAGGTCCTGCACGAGCACATCGCCACCAAACTCGGCAAGGCACTCGGCTCGGCCATGCCCCAGATGGACGTGCGCTTCAGCAACCTGTCTGTCACTGCTGACGTTGTCGTGGTCGATGAAGACAGCAAGTACGAGTTGCCGACCATCCCCAACACCCTCCTGAAGACCTTCATCAGCCCGAAGAAACGCATCGTGCGCAAGGAGATCCTCAAGGACGTCAGCGGTGTGTTCTCACCTGGAAAGATCACCCTGCTGCTGGGCCAACCTGGCTCCGGCAAGTCGGCCCTGTTGAAGATGCTGAGTGCTCGGTTCCCGATGACCAAGAACATCACGGTCGAGGGCAACATCTCCTTCAACAACGTGCAGCGCGAGCAGATCATCAAGACGCTGCCACAGTTCGTGGCCTACGTGAACCAGCGTGACAAGCACTACCCCGTGCTGACCGTCAAGGAGACACTGGAGTACGCGCACAAGTTTTGTGGCGCTGAGCTGTCCGAGCACGCCAAGAAGATGCTCTCGCAGGGTACCCCAGAGGAAAACGAGGAGGCCTTGAGAGCGGCCAACGCCATGTTCGCACACTACCCGGACGTCATCATCCAGCAGCTCGGACTCCAGAACTGCCAGAACACCATCGTGGGCGACGCCATGACCCGCGGTGTGTCCGGCGGCGAGCGCAAGCGCGTGACGACCGGCGAGATGGAGTTCGGTACCAAGTACGTGACGCTCATGGACGAGATCAGTACGGGTCTCGACAGTGCGGCCACGTACGATATCATCAACACGCAGCGTAGTGTGGCCCACAAGCTGCGCAAGACCGTCGTCATCGCTCTGCTTCAGCCGTCTCCGGAGGTTTTCGCGTTGTTCGACGACGTGATGATCCTGAACGAGGGTCAGCTGATGTACCATGGCCCGTGTAGCAAGGTCGAGGAGTACTTCGAGTCTCTCGGGTTCAAGTGCCCGCCTCAACGTGACATCGCCGACTACCTGCTGGACCTGGGCACGCAGGTGCAGTACCAGTACCAGGTCGAACACCCGACGAAGCAGCCTCGCCGGGCCAGTGAATTTGCCGACGCCTTCAAGGAGTCGCGCATCTACATGGAGTCGATGTATGCTCTGGAGGCCCCGTACGACCCCGAACTGCTCCACAGCGTGGAACAGAACATGAAGCCGATGCCTATGTTCAGCCAGTCGTTCGTCGACAGCACGCTGACGCTGCTGAAGCGCCAGCTCACCATCACATACCGCAACAAGCCCTTCATCTTTGGACGCGTGCTGATGATCGCAGTCATGGGGCTATTGTTCTGCACCGTCTTCTACGACTTCGACCCAACGCAGGTCTCCGTTGTGCTGGGTGTGGTCTTCTCTTCGGTCATGTTCCTGTCCATGGGCCAGTCGTCGCAGATCCCGACGTACATGGCAGAGCGCGAGGTCTTCTACAAGCAGCGCGGTGCCAACTTCTTCCGTACTGCATCTTACGTGCTGGCCACCTCGGCGAGTCAGATCCCGTTGGCGTTCGTCGAAACGATCATCTTCGGCTCGCTGGTGTATTGGCTGTGTGGATTCGAGTCCGAGTTCCAGCTTTTCATCATCTTCGAGTTCGTGCTCTTGGTGATGAATCTGGCCATGGGAATGTGGTTCTTCTTCCTGAGCTCCGTAGGCCCGAACGAGAATGTCGTCACCCCGTTGGGTATGGTCTCGGTGCTGGTGTTTATCATCTTCGCGGGCTTCATAGTGACCAAGAGCCAAATTCCAGACTACTTGATCTGGGCGCATTGGCTCAGCCCGATGACGTGGAGCATTCGAGCCCTCTCGATCAACCAGTACCGCTCGGACAACTTGGATGTCTGCGTCTACGACGGCGTTGACTACTGCAAGGACTACGGCATGACCATGGGTGTGTACTACCTGGACCTGTTTGGCCTCGAGACGGAGAAGTCGTGGATTGTGTACGGCATCATCTACACGCTTGCGATGTACGTCCTCTTCATGTTCATGTCCTTCTTGGGGCTTGAATACCTCCGCTACGAAGCCCCTGAGAACGTTGACGTGTCTGAGAAGACAATTGAGGATGAATCGTACGCGATGCTGGCGACGCCTAAGAATGCTGGAGCGGCCAACGCATCGGGGCACTACGTCGTGCAGCTTGACGACCGTGAGAAGAACTTCACCCCGGTGACGGTGGCCTTCCAAGACCTGCACTATTTCGTGCCCGACCCGAAGAACCCGAAGCAAGAGCTCGAGCTGTTGAAGGGTATTAACGGTTTTGCTGTCCCTGGATCGATCACCGCGCTCATGGGCTCTTCGGGAGCTGGTAAGACGACGTTGATGGATGTGATCGCTGGCCGCAAGACCGGCGGTAAGATCACGGGCAGGATCATGCTGAACGGCTACGAGGCCAACGACCTCGCCATTCGCCGCTGCACGGGCTACTGTGAGCAGATGGACATCCACTCGGAAGCTGCCACCATTCGTGAGGCCTTGACTTTTAGCTCGTTCCTGCGCCAGGATGCATCGATCCCGGCCGCCAAGAAGTACGACTCGGTGAACGAGTGCATTGAGTTGCTCGGACTTGAAGACATTGCCGACCAGATCATCCGCGGCAGCTCCGTGGAGCAGATGAAGCGACTGACGATCGGTGTGGAGCTTGCTGCCCAGCCGAGTGTGATTTTCCTGGACGAGCCGACGAGTGGTCTGGACGCGCGCTCCGCCAAGCTGATCATGGACGGTGTCCGCAAGGTGGCCAACTCGGGCCGCACTATTATCTGCACGATCCACCAGCCTTCGTCGGAGGTGTTCTACCTGTTCGACAGCCTGCTCTTGCTGAAGCGTGGTGGTGAGACCGTGTTCTTTGGTGAGTTGGGCCAGAAGTGCAGCAACCTGATCGACTACTTCGAGGGAATTCCCGGCGTGGCTCCGCTACCTGTCGGCTACAATCCGGCGACATGGATGCTGGAGTGCATTGGTGCTGGTGTGGGAAACACTGCTGCCGATGCTACGGACTTCGTGCAATGCTTCAGGAACAGTCCGCTTAACCGTGCGTTGGAGGCGAACATGGCAAAGGAAGGCATCAGTGTTCCGTCGCCTGATCTCCCGGAGATGATCTACACCGAGAAGCGAGCCGCCGACTCCAAGACGCAGATGAAGTTTGTGGTGTGGCGCTTCATCGTGATGTACTGGCGTACGCCCAGCTACTCTCTTACGCGGATGTACCTGGCGCTTTTCTTGGCGATTGTCTTCGGCCTGATTTTCGTCGACGTCGACTACGCGTCGTACTCGGGCCTGAACTCGGGCGTGGGCATGGTGTTCGTCGCCGCGCTCTTCCAGGCCATGATGACCTTCCAGAGTGTGCTTCCGCTGGCCTGCGCCGAGCGCGCCTCTTTTTACAGGGAGCGTGCTTCACAAACGTATAATGCGCTGTGGTACTTCGTGGGCTCGACTGTGGCTGAAATCCCCTACTGCTTCTTCAGCGGAGCTCTCTTCACGGTCGTCTACTACCCCTTCGTGGGTTTTTCGGGTTTCGCCAAGGGTCTGCAGTTCTGGCTGGCGATCTCGCTCATGGTTCTCATGCAGGTCTACATGGGCATGATGTTCGCCTACGCGATGCCAAGTGAAGAGGTGGCGGCTATCATTGGTCTGCTGTTTAACGCTGTGTTCATGATGTTCATGGGGTTCAGCCCTCCGGCCTACTCCATTCCTTCTGGCTACACGTGGCTCTACAAGATCTCGCCGCTGCGATTCCCGCTATCGATCATGGAGGCGCTGGTGTTCGCCGACTGCGATGAGCTGCCGACCTGGAACGAGACCACGCAGTCGTACGAGAACGTGGGTTCCCAGCTCGGATGCCAGCCGATGGCGGACTCGCCGGCTACTGTCGGCCACATCACGATCAAGGAGTACACGGAGCAGTACTTTGGCTTCGAGCACGACGATATCACGCGCTACTTCTTCGTGGTGATCGGCTGCATCATTCTGTTCCGCATCCTCGGACTGATCGCGCTGCGCTACATCAACCACCAGAAGCGGTAGACGGACCGATGCGCTCGAGCTGCTCGATCGCAGCCACACTGCATGATGGATTTTTGCATGCTTTGATACATTTACACCAACAATACAAAATCTGTCTTTGGTTTCCACTTTCTATTGTTTCACAAGTTGTTGTTGTGATTCACAACAGTTTTGAATCGATTCGTATCTCAATGCCAAGATGTGCTAACGGCCTGCTGTAGCTGCCTTACAATCGATTCGTGACTCAATGGCCAGGATATGCTGATGGCCTGCTTACTTAAGTACCTTACAACGCGACAGCTGCTGGCCACCTTTCCGCGAGGATACCTTTATCCGGCTCGTTAAACCGCGGCATCATCTCGCGGCGGGTCTTCAGATGCCTGGCAGCAGCACTGCCATCATCACGGTCGTACGCTCGACTGCTTCCATCTCGCTTTTGTTGTCTGTTGGCCAGGTAGCGCTGGTATCCAGTCTGCAAAGCCAGCACCCTGTGTATCGCGATGGCCCGCGCAGCATGTGCTGCACCCTGGTAACGCTTGAAACCCTGAGGTTTCATGTGGTGCTTGCCAAAACAGGCAACACGGTGCAAATCGCTGTGACGGTTGCTCGCGGCATGGCGTGCGCCCCAAGCTATTATAGTGTCGGCCTGTTCTCCTTAGCAGTGCATCCGGTAGTGCAGGCCAATTGGATCGCACGACAACATTCAATCCTGTCCAGCAAATGGAGACTTTCACTAAAAAAAAGTCTCAGTATTAAAGGGTCCTTCACTTTCCTTATTATACAATTTGTAGGACCTTCGCGTACATAGGACCTTCAGGCAGTGAAGGGACGCGACGGTTGGACAGCCAATCACAGGCCGTCTGAGCTGCGATATGCTCCGATGATGGCACCCATTTTCTATTTTCGGCTAGTTTTGGCAGCAACAGTTATCACCTAGCCCGCGCCGGATGACGGCGAGCTCTTGTTATTTGTGGCAGCGGCCTCACCGTGCCACATAGGCTGCTTCACACATTTTCGCTCGAAACTGAAGTTCGGACCCCACAAACAAACCCATCTCGCCACGGCCCGCCGCCACAAACGTCAATGCGGTAGCGAGCGGTAGACGCACCGCGCGCGGCTTACGGCCGCTTCAACCTGGCCAAGCTGCACCGTTTACCCTCGGCGCGCACGAAGTCATCCTCGTCCGGTCGTCCACCCCGTTGTTTGACAGCGGCCCGCATTGACCCGGGCCAGGCCAAATCGAGGCCGGTAACCAGGCAGTCATTCTCCATTTTCCTGCTTAGCGCTCAGCCAGCAGCCAACATGGAATTATCCACACAGCCGTCGCCGACCACGGCCAAGAAGCTCGGCCTCGAGTCGGGCCAGGCCCTCATGGCCGAGGGCCCGCAGGTGCTGCACCAGTACGTCGCCACCAAGAT